CAGACTTGCATGAGGGGAGATGTGGGCAGCCTTGGCAGGAGGACAAACGCAGAGACTTCTGCACGGGGCCGTGCAGCTGATTCCTAAACAACCTCACCAGTTTGTTTCCTTTGCGCTCGTCTTTCGACAGCGGCCTCCACAGACTTGTTCCCTGGGGAACCAAGGAATCAGCTCTAAGGACACTCAAACCTTAATTAACTGGAACCTAATTAGGACTTTTCAGACTTACTTTCCCCACTTTGAAGGAAAACTCTTTCTCTCTTAAGTCAGCATGCTGTAAACAGAGGAACTGTGAACCAAGAGCTATCTGGATTTCTTCATGTAAGCAACTCATTAAAACTCCTGGAACTTCAGCTTTCTAGTTTACAAACTGAGAGGGCCAATGAGATGATATCTAAAGTCATTTTTAACAATAAAATTCTAATACGTGCCAACAGATCAATATCAGTCAATAATCTGAGCTCATTCTTCTACCCTGACTACCATCCCTTTCCTGATAAGAGTTGAAATCACTGAACAGTCTTTGATAGTTTTAAAGTACTTTACACTCTTAAATTCAGTTGAACTTTGCAACCTGATGGGATAAGGTCTCCAAAACACTCTAACAGAAACCCTCTCACCTGACGTGAAGACTAGCTAAGAAGGGGAATCATACAGAAGAGAGATGGACATATCCAAACATTTTGTTTTAATTCACATAAATGTACATTCGTTCACTGTTTTGGCTTTTTCAACGTAAGCATTTTGTTTTTTTAAAGAGTATGCTAATTGGATTTCTAGTCTTTTCCTAAATTAACTACATTCATAATTCATTGTGTATAATTTAGTTTTTACTTCTTTAAAAGAGTGAGAATGGAGACATTCGGAAGGCAACCTGAGCACAGAATTCTTCTCGAACTTCATGATACTCCCTGTACTCTATTATAGTTGTCTTATCCTAACAGCAGATTTTTTTTTTTAATTGTACTTTAGATGAAGGTTTACAGAACAAATAGCTTCTCATTAAACAGTACACATATTGTTTTATAACACTGGTTAACAACCCCACGACATGTCAACACTCTCCCTTCTTGACCTTGGAGGACCTTTTTTTTTTGGTGAAAATATACACAGCCAAAGTTACACCATTTCAAAAGTTTCTACATGTACAATTCAGTGACATCGACTACATTCTTCCAGTTGTGCTGCTATTCTCACTATCCTTTTCCAAATTATTCCATCACCATTGTCTTCAACTCACTGTCCCCTAGGCTTCCCATCAAACATTTTGAATTGCTGTCGTCAGTGTGATCTCACATAGGTAATTCTTTTTTTTTTTTGTACCTTAGATGAAGGTCTACAGAACAAATAGCTTCTCATTAAACAGTTAGTACACATATTGCCCTATGACAATGGTTAACAACCCCACGACATGTCAACACTGTCCCTTCTCAACCTTGGGTTCCCTATCACCAGCTTTCCTGTCCCCTCCTGCTTCTAGTCCTTGTCCGTGGACTGCTGTGCCTCATTAGTCCCATTTTGTTTTATGGGGCTGTCCAATCCCCAGCTGAATGGTGAACCTCGGGAGTGACTTCACCACTGAGCTAAAAGGGTGTCTGGGGGCCATACTCTTGGAGTTTCTCCAGTCTGTCAGGCCAGTAAATCTGGACTTTTTTTGTGAGTTAGAATTTTGTTCTACATCCTTCTATAGCTCTGTCCAGGACCCTCTGTTGTGATCCTGGTCAGAGCAGTCAGTGGTGGTAGCCGGGCACCATCTAGCTATATTGGACTCAGTCTGGTGGAGGCTGTGGCAGCTGTGGTCCATTAGTCCTTTGGACTAATCTTTTCCTTGTATCCTGTTCTTTTCATTCTCCCTTGCTCTTGAAGGGGTGAGACCAGTGGAGTATCTTAGATGGCTGCTCACGGGCCTTTAACACCCTAGATGCTACTCACCGAGGTAGAATGTAAAACACTGTCTTTAGAAACTGTATTATGCCAACTGAGCTAGATGGTCCCTGAGACCATGGTCCCCACAGCCCTCCACTTAGCAATTCAGTCCCTCAGGAAGTCTGGACGTGTCTATGGAGCTTCCATGCCCTTTCGTTGCACAAGTTGCTAACAGCAGATTTTTTGAACATTCATCCTTATCAAGTCTTTCCAAAATATTTAACTTAGTTTTTGCAGAAACCAGAGCTTTCTTTTTGATGCCCTTATTTTATCAGTTTACCTAGTATCTAGTAAAACTGTAATTACAACAACACATAGCTGGCATAAACAGGTTGGGGAACAAGCATGACTGACTTGACACACATATAACTCTCTGGATGGGAGCAGGCATACCATGGTGCAGTGCAGTGAATTACTTAATATGCCTTTCCAGCCATGCATGGTCCTGTGACTTCCACACAATGACTGGCTGGGACTATGCAAATAAGGTGAATGTGGCCCACCAAAGGGATTGGACAGCTTGCTAATAATGCAAATAAGGTACATGGAATCACTGTGGGGGTGGGACCATGCAAATAAGGTGTCTGGAACCCTAATGAGGGTTTTGGTCAGTTTTGCCATCCTGCTAGGCTTAATGGGAGCCAATCGCAGAAGCAGAGAGGGGGGACCTTACCACCATCAAGAAAGAGGAACTGGGAGCGGAGCGCATCTTTTGGACCCAGGTCCCTGCACTGAGAACCTCCTAGACCCAGGAGACAGAGGGAGAGCTATAACGTGAAAGACAGCGAGAGACAGTGGTGCAGCAGCAGCAAGCGTGACAGCGGTGTGAGACAGCAGGAATCAGGAGCCCAGTGCAAGATGGCTGCAGTGGGACTTGCTGACCCACGGGGCTAAGAACTGCAACACTTGCCCGAGAATGCCCTGAGCAGGGCCCGGCAGCAGCAAGGCCCTGGGCAGGGCCTGGCGGCAGAGGGCAAGAAGAAGTTGTCCTGATCAAGAACTGTATCCTGAGTTGTTCCTGTTACTTCTGAGTCATTCCTGAACCCGAGCTGTACCCTGTTACTTCCCCAGTAAACCACTTAACTGTAAGTACGGCTCATAAGTTCTGTGAGACGCTGCAGCGAATTACTGAACCCAAAGACGGGAGGGAGAGTACTGAGGGAAGGAGGGGTGTTGGAGGTAGAGATGATGGAGCGGTACCGCAGTTTGGAAAATTTGGACATTTGGGACGTCTTTAACCTGTGCCTCGTAGGAACCAGCTTTGTGCTGATCCTTATAAAAGAAACTATTCATTTACATGGGCATCCAGCACTACACTTTAGAGACAGAATGATGGGCACTGGCTGAGATGGCTCCGGGCCACACAGGGGAAGGCATCCAGAAGGTGGTGGGGAGGCTCGATGAGCCTGGGGAGAGACGTCAGGCTGGAGATAACAGATTTTGGCATCGTCACCATCCAGTTAGTAGTTAAAGTCACAAGAGTAGAGGAGTTCATTCAGGGAGCAAGTGTGGACAGAGGAAAAAAGGGGGTGGGGTAGTGTGGTGTAATTGATTGCTTTTTGTGTGGCCTTTCTAGCCATGGTCTTGTAACTCCTGCCCAGGTGACTGGGTGGGACTGTGTGATAGGCTAACTGTGACCTACCAAGGGGACTGGTCACCTTTGCCTTAAAACAGAGACAATTCCAGAGCAGAGAGAAGGATCCTACCACCACCAAGGAAGAACAACCAGGAGCAGAGAGCGCATCCTTTGGACCTGGGATCCCTGGGATGAGAAGCTCCTGGAAGCAGGAGACTGAGAGAGAGAGCAAGCTGTAACCTTGAAGATGGTGAGAAGTGGTGGCAAGAGAGACCTGGCAGCAGGAGACCGTGCGGTGGGCTACCCAGCCCATGGAGAGAGAAACCTGAGTGCCTCTGAGCAGATGCCAAGGGCCAGGGAGAGGCGTGCCTGCGAGCATGGTTGAGAAGAGGTTGTCCTGATGGAAGAAATGTATCCTGAGTGTTCCTGAGCCTGAATTGTAACTGTTACTTCCCTAATAAACCCCATAACTGTGAGTATGGTCTATGAGTTCTGTGTGGCCATTGCAATGAATTACTGAACCCAGCAGAGAAGTAGAGAGTGCTGTGTGAGGGATGATTGGTGTCAGAATTAGAAAAGATTGTGGAGAGAGGAGGCTTGTCTAGCCTCCACCTCATGGGAGTCAGCCTTGTGTTGATCTTGGTTCTCTTTCCCCCTTGTGGGGCTGGAGGAGGTCAGACACTGCCGTAAGTCATTTTTACAGGCAGACCCAGGGAATACCAACCTAAAGGACTGGGCAGAGGAAGAGGCTTCTGCAAAAGGGACCAAAAGGACATCACTGGAGATGTATGAAGACAAGCAGAGAACCAGAAGGTGAGCCTCAAAGGTGAGCCAGATGCAGGAGGGAAGTCTGGTGAGCTAAGAACTGCAAGACATCTTTGGTTCTGATAACCAGAAGGCCACTGGTTAGTGAGTGACAACTGGAGTGTGCTCATACCTCATGAGGGATTTCATGAAGGCAGGAATGAGATGCTCTGTAATCTTTATGCTTCTGAGCCGCTCTTCCCTGGCCTTGCTGTCTTCCTCAGCGCCCACTCTGCCTCCTGTCTGGCCCACCATCAGCCTACTCGCGCACACAGACCTGCACAGGCTGCTCACATCCAGGCAGGGGTGGAGGCGTGCAAGGGCACAGGCAGCTCACATCACCCACTGGTCCCTCAGCTGCTAACCAACCCCTAAGCCCAGGGCAGAAACTATCTGTGATGCCTGCTGAGAAGCATTTGTGCAAGTTTGTCTCAAAAGGTAGGATGAAATGAGAAGTTCAATGAGAAGGTTTTAAAACCAGGCCTTTCAGATCTTTCCAGGATGGAAGGTTCAGAGAAAGAAGCTGTCAGTCAGGCTGGGCTTTGCCAGTGGTCTGATGAACACCCCAGTAGCCCTGCTGCCGCCCAACTCATCTTCCACACAGACAGGGACTCCCCGAGCCTGTGCAGAGCAAGGAAGGACAGGGAGCTCTCTGGGGTGTGGGTGAGGAACATTAAAAAAAAAACCTCCATGATACAGACACAGACTCCACTCTGTAATACACTGACGAGTAATGAGGAGAGAATTCCCAGATCCTAAAGTCGCTGACTCTTGGACATGGAACTTCAACCAGGTTTAAGTGACAGCTGCCTAGGTCCCACAGGGCTGCCTCCAAGACTGTGGTATTCAAGAGCAATCAATACCATCCTGTGTCACTGTTTCTTCAAAAGCCAACATCCTACAGCCTAATCAGTTCTCTGCTGCTTTAAATGCTAATGTGAAATCTGTAAACATATGATTCTTTTTGGAAGACAAGGGATATGAAGAAATACTTTTTTTTGTTTAAGCCCCAGGATCAGATATTGGTCAGCTGCCTTCTCAACTTCCTTGCTTCCTGTTCCTACCTGCATTCAAAAGGGATCTGAGGTAGAAACCTGAGGTAAGGATCCCATATTTGGACACAACCTTACTATGGAAAGGAGAGTGGAGTTTTGGCTCCAGGGCCACCTACAGACGCCCTTCTTTTGCCTTGGCTCACATCGTTAGGCGCAGGATGCCTGTGCTGCCTTGGAGAACCCTGTCTTAATGTAGTGACTGGAGAAAGGTGAAGAAGGACGAGCCCGAGCCCGCCGTGCCACATCTCACCACACTGCGTCCAGACACAAGTCACATTTGTCAGTTGTACTAAAAGAAGGCAGTTACTGACCTGATCCAGACGCAGAGCACCGTCCACAAACCGCTGTTTGCGTAGCTCCTTTGCGATTCTGTGGAGATTCAAGACAGCCTGGTGCACCTCCTGGCTGGTGTGCTCCGGGGAGATGGGGGGCAGCACCTTCTCAGGGATTGGCTGAGCAGGGCTTTCAATCATGCTCTGTGCGTGCTCATAGCTCAGTTTGGTACAGGAGCGGATGATGGTCCGGCCGAACCATTCACTAAGGATCTGCAAAGACAGACCGTGAGGGAGTCAGAGGAACACATTCCTGGTTTTTGTTCATTCAACCATTCATTCATATACATTTATCAAAGATTTACTGAGCTAAGTTATACACTTGAAAAAGCTGAATTGGCAAAAATCAAGTGATAGATATATTTACAACAACAGTAACAAAAAAGAGTAGCTGCTGAGGCTACTTATGTACAACCAAACACCTCATGGGATTTGGTTCCTTGGCTTGGAGGTTTAGGATCATGGTTTCATGGGACATGCCAGTTAACTGGCCTAAAAACATGCTTAGTGCTTCTGTTCTACCTCCTAGTTCATTGCGTTGTGCCTGGGGTCTTAAAAGCTTGCAAGTGGCCATCCAAGGCACAATGATTGGTCTCTCTTTGCTCGGAGTAACAGAGGAGGAAGGAGAGCCAGGAATAGGAGGATATGGTAATTGCCTCCATGAACAACTGCCTCCTTTGCCATGAGACCAGAAGAACTGGATGCTGCCTAGCTACCATTACTGAAGATTCTGATCAAAGATTCTACAGAAGAATCTTCATCAAAAGGGGAAAAATGCAGAACAGAATTTCCAATTCTCATGGATTCCAAACTTTTTAGAGCCATGGAGGCTGGATGAACCCCTGAAACTACTGCCCTGAGATAATCTTTAAACCTTAAACCAAGAATATCCCCGGAAGTCTTCTTAAAACCAAATAATAGTTTAGCTTAACTAGTAAAAAATGTCTGCCTTGAGTATTATGCTCTTTTGTGAACTATCTGTATGGGATCACACTGACAATAGCAACTTGAAAGATTAGATAGGAACCTGAGGGGGCAGTGAGTTTATGTTAATGGGGGAGGAACAACCCAGAAAAGGAGGGTGAGAATGGCTGCACAAATTGAAGAATGTAACTAACATCACTGAATTGTACATGTAGAAACGGTTGAATTGGTATATGTTTTGCTGTGTATATTCTCAACAATAACAAAAAGAATTACTGAGCACTGACTTCGGGCTTGGAATGGTGTCAGGTTCTGGCTAGGCATACAGATGAATCTGACACAGAAGCTGCAGCCCTCAGGCGGCTGAGACTCCATGTGCTCACAAGGCCTGCCACACAGGGAGCTAGGCTCACGCAGAGGAGAGTCTAAGGGCAGAGGAGGGAGTCAGGGAAGGCTTTGCATTAGGGCTGGGCCTTGAAAAATGTGGGTGGCCCGCACCAGGAGACTGGAGACAAAGCATTTTAGGAAGAGGACACGTGAGCCAAGGCGGAGGTCATGGCTGGAGGGATCCTGGGCTGGAAAGCCAACGGGGCGGGATTGGGAGGCTTCTGGAGAGCGGCATGCTCTTAATTTGATGGGCAGTGGAAGACTCTGGAAGGTCCCTGAGTATCTAGGACACAGGCAAGGCTGGCAGGAGACCTGATGTGCAGCCTGTGGGGGGCTTCTCATGAGTTTGGGTGGGCGGTCATCTGTGCCAAAATGAGGGGAGAGAAAAAGAGACAGATGCCAAAGCTGTGGCAGATGGGGAAGCTGTGGGCTTGGTAACAGATCTGATGAGGGGTGGTTGACAGGGAGGAGGTAGTGGAAACAGACAACACAGGTGGAGAAGCAGGATGGGGCATAAAGAGAAAACCAACTCTAGCTTGCTCTATCTGGGGCGTATATGCAGAGACAAAGGCCCAGACCAGGGTTTCTCAACCTTGGCACTACGGACATTTTGGGCTGACCTCTTTGTTGTGGGATTGTCCTGTATATTGCAGGATGTTTAGCAGCATCCCACGACTCTACCCACTAGATGCCGGAACCCCAGTTCCCACAGATGAGGCAACCAAAAAATGTCTCCAGACATGGCCAATGTCCCCTAGGGGAGGAAGGTGGTGGGGAACTCGGCCCCGGTTGAGAACCAGCGGACTCAAAGGAGATACACCCACTCTCTGAATGGGAGGGTTACTGCTGGTTTGTATTTTCGCCTTTCTATTTTTCTGTCTTTAATGAGCATTTAAATTACTTTTAAAACAAAAGTAAACACTGAAATCTTTTTTTGAGAACCCTGCACGTGAGGTGCTGGGAAGAGGTCCAGAAGCGGACAGGAGTGGGCCATCGGGATGCAGGCCTGGGGCACCATCAACCAGAGAAGTCCAAGAAAGAAAGGGCGAGGGAGACAGCCGAGGCTGCATTCTCTCACAGCACCTCCATCTTAGGGAGAGAGGAGAAGCCAGAGAATAAAACAAACAAAAACAAGGGGGCACCCCAGCCCCAGAGTCCAAGCTCTTAACCACGAGTGTAGATCAAATGCTACTTGGATGTCAAGGAGGATAAAAACAAAGAAAGGTCCTTGCACTTAGCATCTGGTTACTGTTGAGTTCTAGGAAGGCTGTTTTTGTGGGGAACATATGGGGTGGGGGGCTGTGGGGAGAGCCAATTGGGAAGATTTCAGGTGGGGCTTCCCAGCCCATGTGCAGTGAATGGATCACAGAGTGGCTGTGATACCAGCCCCTCGCCCTCAGAGAAGCTTCCATCTGTCTTGGACACACCCCACGTGCCATTCAAACAGCAATACTTTCTGTGCGTGTCATGATAGGCCTAAGTGTGGCCGCTCTGGGCTCCCGCCCAGAGGATGGCAGGGCAGGGGAGTTACTGAGTAAGCAGGACCGAGGACTGGGTTGTGTCTGCAGACTGAGGGGAAAGCCAGTGCAGAAGGCAAAGTGACGATGCAAGACAACAAAGGGCCAGGTGGAGGCCCAGCATACAGGAGCGGGGGGCAGCGGGAAGGGAGACAGGAAGGAGGGGAAGAGGGAAGCAGAGCACATGCCTATCAGATGGCCTCAAGTGTAAGGCCAAGGGCAGGGAGGCTGGGAGGGGCCTGAGGACCGAGGGAAGTGGAAAAGCTCTGAGGTAAATGCTGTGGAAAACGTGAGTCACGGGCAAGGAAAAGCCAGAGCCGAGTGACAGAGGGCTCGGGAGGTGTGTAGTGCATCACCCAGTCTGGGCTTGGGAACATGCCTCTTGCTTCCTTTTCACCAGGCAAACCATTCCATGTCCAGCCTCCAAGACAATGCTTCCCCAAAGAGGCTCTCTGGAGGGTCCTCGGTGCTCCCCAGGGGAGAGGAGAGTGCACAGCCCAGAGGAGCTGGCCACCCCGACAGGCCTCCGGTCGTACAGCCTCTACCCTGGAGTCCCCTCTGATTGCCTCCATCCAAAGAAACGATCGATCCTCTTCAAATGGCGGTAGTGAGGCACAGGAAGAGGATGGTCACAACACGTCCTCTTACTCAGCGCAAACAGCCTTACTACAAAGAGTCTTGGATCTGTAATAGTATCAGACTTCAATTTTTCTAAAAAAAATTCCTGAAACTATACTTTCCAGGTTATTCCAAGAACCATCACTATCCAAAAACATAAGTGATTCAAATAACATGCTCACGACTCTTGGGCTGTGGCAAACGGGTCCTGAGATTGGCTTTCAGGAGGCATCCGCGTGTGTGCTGAATGCAAGCAAAACCTGAGAGCCAGGTCTCGGGGTTGTACAAGAGTCCCGGCTGGGGAAGCGCTGCGCACAGGTCTCCAGCCTCCTCTAGACCAGTCATTCTTGTGGTCACAAAGTTTTCCCTGGAGATTTAGCTTGTTTCCTTTTCTCCATTTCATTCCAAACCCAGGCAGTCCTCCTCCTCCTCCTGTGTGGCCACATTCTGTCTAAACAGCTGGTCTTTAGTGCTCAGGGACGCGTCCGTTTCCACTCCCTCCACTCCCTCTCTTTCACACACTTCGCAAGTAGTCTAGCAGCTCTCCTCGGGGATCCAGGTCATAGGAGGCCTGGCTTCTGGGGCTTCCCTTCTGTGAGGAAGGTGTTCTTATCAGGGTAACCACTACGCACAGGGCGGGAAGACTCGGACCACCCAACAGGCATTTGCTATCTCGTAAACCAGTGGGTCAAGAACCTCTTTAAAAATCTAACAAAAGCTCTCTCTCCTGTAACATTTATGCACGCAATTCTGCAAGAAGCTCCACACGCTTCCTAGACAAGCCCATGTACCCGGGCTCTAAACAGATCTTCGTTGCTTCCTCTGAACCCCCTGCTTGCAGCGCTGAGCCCTGACCAGAGGCCACTTTTAACCCAGAGGAGTTCTTAACACTTACAACCTCTAACTTCAGAATGAGAAGCCTCCCACTTCTTATCCACCAAAGCTGGCTACCAACACATGCTGGTCACGCCATGTCAGACAAGCTGCCTGCACCATCTCAGACACACTGGCTGATCTCATACATGCTGGCTGCACCATCTCACGCACACTGGCCACGCTGTCTTAGCCAGTTTGAGCCACTTTGTCCCTAGTGGGCACCTCTGCTCCTTTAGTTTGTCTCCTCTCAGTCAACGGTAGCTATCTCTTCTTCATAGTACTGCCAGATTTGAAGCTCCGGAGCTGATGATAAGTTTCCTGTAGCTCTTTCACCTTACTTGAGCCCCCTCCACTTACTGCCTGCATTCCAGGAAATCTATCCCACTTTTCTTTTTAAACACCAAGCAGCGGCTGAGGTGGAAGCTCTGAGGAGCTACGGAGAACTTCCCGGCCCAGTCCTTGGCAGCATAGCCTCTCTTGTTTTCACAGACTCCAGTGGTTCTGGGAATCCTACCTGACAAACGGACTAGACAAAATTCTAAGGGTAGGAAAATTGGGCCCGAAACCATCTTCTGGAGAAGGCCAGCAGAGGAGACAGGATACCCACCACAGCCTTACGCAGAGAAGGGCAGCAGAAAATCGCAGATCCAAATGGAGGGGGTCCCAGGAGCAGCCAGCCTCACAGTATGGAAGGAAGGCCTCTCTGGATGAATACTTCCTTAATTCCCATTTTGGAAACTGTATTCACATCAACGCCCAGTCCATAACCAGGGCCAGTGGCAGGAGTCAAAAGGACAGAGAGTTATTTTGTGGAAAAAGTAAAAGAGCCACGAGGAGATGCGTAACAAAGCCTTCAGGAAGATAACGTCCTTCCTCCTTCCTCTGCTTCAC